CTTGAAACATTGCCTAAAAGTCGTATATTTTGAGCTAATACTAGACAACTATGAGCCCAATGAAACTTCAATAGTTTTTTGCACGTATTCTCCCTCAAAATAGCTTATAATCCTCACAGCTTGACTTGAAATTATTACCAAAAGAATCACCACATTTTTCTGAATACGATAGGCGATAAAGTGACTGAAAATATCCTATGGGCTAAATCGGCTTCTTATGCGCCCCTGTCCTTTATCAATGTTACATTAAAAGAATTCTTTTCTTTATCAATTAAACAATTGACAAGAGAAAAAAAAAACATTCAAAACCAGAAGATAATTATAATTCTATATTGCGAGATAATCTGAATAATAGTCCTTTCGGATATGATAATCACGAAGAAAATAATAATTCTGATAACTGAATTATAGTTTAATGAATAATGAATGAACTTTTCTAGTTTTGTTTTTGATTGATATTTGTTTCTTTTCTTTTCATTAATAAGAAATACAAAAATTTCTGAGAAAATGTCGACACCTATTTCTAAATAATGTAGCATCATATTGACATTGACATATTTTGCTTGAAAGAGTAAGTTTAAGTGAGTATATACATAGAACAAAACGATTTTCGGCTGAAATTCCCACGCTTTAATATCATTTCCGTGTTCTCGTTCCGGACGTTTTGATGGGAATCGCCGTTCCCGATTCTCGCGGGAAACGGTAAGAAAAAAAACAGGAAAAATTGTTCCCGTAGGACACTAAAGTAAATATCCTGCTTTTATTCATCATTTTGCAACATTTGTTGAAGTTAAACTTTCAATATAATATTTACATTGTCTGAAAAAATAGATCGACTACTTTTTTTTTCAGAATTCAAAATTTTTGTTTACATATTCTATTTGAGATAAGATGTAGAAGAAACAACCAATTAATATTAAAACGATTTTTTTTATTCTATGGATAAAAACCATTTCTAAAAGTTAATTTTGTGAAATACGATCTAAAATGAGTGTTGAGGTAAAACAGATAGAAATTTAGATCCAGTTCTCCACCACAGACGTGACAGAAATAATAGCAAGATTAAAGCCCACTGCAGGATTAGTATGATAATTGTCCTTTATGTTTTTTTAACACTCACTGCAATATGTTGCGATTAATGTCTTTCATCATCGACATGCATTAGTAGTAGATAGAAATTCATAAACCGAAACATATATTGATTAATTTTCCTCTTCTACAATGTCAGCAACTTCATCGTATTTTACATTTTAATCCTACAGGAATTGTGCTAAAAATATTTCTTAATAAAGAACTGAAGTAATTTTTATTCATAATTTGAATGTAGAATAAATATTATAATGGTCTATTTAATTTCAATCTTAATTTAAGAAAAACAGCACAAAATTTCAAACGTAAGCGTAAGTCTTTGAATTCATAAAATCTTTCATATTCCATAAATCCCATTTTTCTGATGGTAGGTCTAGGCGTTTTATAGACTGACTATAGAAGATATTATAATTCTAAAGACTCCTCTGGATTTACTATTCAAACAACAGAGTATCTAAATTCGGTTGAAATTATTTGAACCGATAAGGAAATCAACTAGTTATTTAGATATACATTAATAAAAAACAACTCAATTACTTAGATATATTAAATGTTCATGAAAAAAAACCAAAAACTTCAATGGAAAAAGTTCACATAAAAATTTCTCAAAAAATCAAGAACTTCCTTAAAAAGATAGGAATTCATTGAATGAAAAAAAAAGATACATAAATCAACAAAGAAACAAGTCTTTTATTCATCAATATAAAATCTAAAAATCTCAATAGTCAAATCGATAACAATTATTGAAGGTATTAATCAAGAGGTGGTTTCAAAATTATCGTGACAAAAAAATCTATTCTTTATTCATTTTCGAAATTTATTAAATTTTCGATATGCATATTAAAATAAATGAAATGAAAACTACATTGTTCGAAAGAATAATCAACCATCTACCGAACACCATATTAAAATAAATAGCATGTAATATTGAATAAACATGTATTGAACTGTGAAAAATGATCTAATCAATGTGCAAAATTAAATAAGAAAACCTAAAAATAATATTTACGAAAAATATAATTGAAAATCTAACTATTTCTTAGGTTCATTTGCAACTAAAATAAATAAATCCGAGAAAGACAAGTAACTTTTAAATAATGACATTACAAATCAGCAGTGTTTTTGTCCTCATGTTACCAAAGTATTGCAAAGATACTATGTTTTTCCCGATGAAGTGCGAAGTACAGTATTTTTGCGAAAATGTTAGCCTATTGAGTACTTTGCTTGTATTAAAGGTGAAAGTACATAATAATAATACAATTACCTCGAAAGTATAAATAGGTTATGGTAAAGTAAGGACCTCAATATGATTGGTTCATTTTTTTTTTATATGTAGTGAGCCATACATCTTTCACGTTTACATGTTTAGTTCATTTTGTGTGACTATTTTTAATGTGTGCATAAAAGTCTATGTAAAGCTTATCTTAACATCGATATTTTTCTGTAACTTATTTAAAAAAAAATAAAAACCTTTAGTTATTTTAGATGAAATAATTAATCATGTAAATTATTATGTTTTTTAATATGCACAAAAAAAATTAATCAAAAATAAAAAAAATATTACTTAAAGACTTTAATAAAATATCAAAATTAAAAAAATAAACAATTGATGTCGTAATTATAAGGAATTTTAGTCTGTTTTAGATAAGATTTGTTTTTGATATCCATCGGTATATATAAGTTTGTATTTCTTTAAAAAGTCTGATGCAATTAATCTAAATATGATTTAATTCATAAAAGTTTTTGTTTTAATTTGAAAAAATAATTTTTATGTTCTAGATTTATTGATGATCTTTTTTTTTTGTTTGATAAAAGATTTTCTCTATTATGTTTATGCTAGATTTCTTGTGGACCACAAATACAAAAAAATGTACGAATAAAATTTTAAACAACTCATCTTTGCATTTCTTTCTATGCTTTTTAGTACATTTTCATATATTCTAAATAGTATAAGCTGTAATCTTTATTGATAAATCGATGATGACAGTAACTATCTTATTCAAATGTACTAGTTGTGCAATAGTATGACACCGACAACTATCGAAATAAGTACAATATTTCTATATAAGAGATCGTTAATAATTTACAAGATATCATCCAGATAATTAGAATGTGTTAATATTCATTAAAATACTTTATTAAATAAGATTTAAAAAGAAAATATTAATAAAAAAAAAGGATCGAATGATATGAAGAAGAATAATCTCTCTTACTAATCATTATTTATATAATTATTTTTTTTTCAATTTAATATAACTTTTCTCTATTATCTACTTCAAAATTTTGAAACAAATTTATGTATAAAGATTTTTTGATATATTTCAGATATACTTGATATTATACATGAAATAATGCATTTAAGTCGATTACTTCTCAATCTATCCAGTCATATCGAATATTATTCGAAATTTCAACCAACATCATTTACTCTCAAGAGTCTTATTGATTTTGGTTTGTAAAGAAAAAATAAAAACTTATTATTAATAATAATTGTTGAAAAAATTTTCTCAGCTCGTGATGGTGATGTTAAAAAATCCTATAAATTTCTACGAGTTGAATTACTCATACGATGGTCTCATATGCGTAAAGAAATGGGTTATTTACCACCGAAGTAAATCAAAATAATAATATCTTATGAAGTTAATTTTCTTTCTTTTTTTTTTTGTTTAGATTACTTGATATGCCAAGTTTTAAATTAGCAAATTCATGGTATGATCAAAGTTATTCTGAAATACTTGAATTTAAAAATATAGAATCGGATGCATCAACACTTCGCAAGTACTTGAATATAATTATATTCTTTTTTTTTTCTAATTATCTGTCTAAATAAAAAAAAAAAAAAATAGATTTACAGAAACATTAGTTGGTATTCGAAAACGTCATGCTGATGTTGTATCAACATTAGCTCAAGTAAGTTCATTATTTTATAATCTTTTTTTTTTCTTATCAATTTCGAGAATTTTTTTTTTTTAGGCATATATAGAATTTGAAAAAGTTAGTTCAATTAGTTTAATAGAAAAAAGTCGAATACAATATTTTTATGATCGATTTTTTATAAATCGAATTGGTATAAGAACATTAATTTATCAACATAGTACGTTCATATTTTACTTTTGATTATTTCATTGAATATCAATATTGAAATATATTTTTTGTATTAAGCTCTTCTATTCGGTGATGAACTTCCTCAACATTCACAACAAGCAGGTATTATCGATCCATGTGTCAATGTAGCTGCTGTTATTGGAGGTAAACTTTTCTTTTTTTTTTTTCATGGGTGATTATGTGCCAGAAAAGATTTATTACGAGTAATAACAGGAAACATACGATTCTTTTTCAATTGGTACTTATAGAAATTGCAATTCTTCTTTCATGCTATTAGTTTTATCTGATAGTTATTTTCGTCTCGAATTATATGGATAAAAAAAAAAAAGAGAATTGAAAAACAAGTTTTTTTCGATATATATTTATGTTGATCAAAGTTCATCGTATGTAGGTTTCTTTTTTTCTTCTATTTAAAATAGGTCATAAGTAGATACAATTTGTGCAGAAAAAAAAATATGTTTGTATTTTTCTTACTAGCAGAACAAAGAAAAAGAAAATATTCGATGAATAGGAGACAGTGACTTTCTTTTTTCGTTCTATTTTTTTCGACAACCTTAAATGAACTGTATACTCGGAAGTGACGAATTAATTTGCGACATTTTCTTTTCATTTATTATATATAGATGCTTATTCAACAGCAAAATTTTTATTTGAACAAGTATCTTATCCAGTACCTACAATTGAAATTGAATCTCATAATGGTAAATATGATAAAAGAAAAATTTTCATTATTGTTGATATTTATATATATATATATATATTAAGTACAAGATCATAGTACCAATCCTGTAACAATTGTTTACATTCCAGCACATATTTATCATATTGTTTTTGAATTATTAAAAGTAAACTTATTTTGATTTAAATTAATAAGAAGTTTTTTTATTATAAATTAGAATTCACTTCGTGCAACGATTGAACGATATGGTTTAGATGCTAAAGAATATCCACCTGTACGTATACTTATTGTTAAAGGTCATGAAGATTTAACAATACAAATTAATGATCGTGGTGGTAAGATATATCATATATAATTATATATTTATTTCGAAAGTTTTATTCTAATTAAAAGAGGATAAGTTATTGAGATTTTTTCTGGTAATTTGTTTATGATATGTAATTGAAATGAAGTTTTGATTTTAAATAGAAATGTGATTCTCACATATTAGAATCATAAATTAGATACTTTAAATAGTACGTTGATTTTGATAATTCATTAATGACATAACATATAATTACTATTGATTTTCAATATTATTTGATAATATATAACATATTCATCGGTTTAAATAATAGATGAAATAAACAATATTAAATACTATAATACTTATGTTTTTTTCTTGTTTTTGCGTTCTTTATATTAATCAATCGTTTACCTGCAACATAAGTCTAAACTTGTTGACCTTTTGTAGGCCTCGTTGGCTCATGAAAGACTCTGAGTGAGTCCCTGCAGCCTGCTTAAAGCACTCGATGCATTGTTTTTTTTACATATTAATATTATAATAATACTTGAGTGGAATAAAAAGAATGCTATAATAAGAACGGAAGGGTATCATATAAATCTCAATGAGATCACTGCATGAAAAATTTATTAGTTTAATGCGTCATATATTCGTAGAAAGAAAACATGAACGAAAAGTTAACAATTAAAAAACAGTCTAGTTTTGTTTAAGAATATTTTTATTATATTTGACAACTTTGTTAAACAAAACATATCAAGACTAAATAGTAAATAACAAAAATAAACGATTAACAGTGGTGAATAGTAACTTACGAAATAACCTTCCAAACTGATACCCACCGTTTGCAAAAGTCTAAAGTGGTTTGTCATCATGGACTTTTAGAATCGAGTTATGATCATTTTACAGAATTTTTGGTATCAAAATATTGCTCATATATAAACCGCATGATCTGTAGAATATCCAAAAAGTTTCAGCCCAAAAACAACATTTTTTTTTTCGTCAAGATATTAAATTTTCATCTAAATTTAGTTTTTGTATCATGCCTATGGCAAACAGTTGTATGTTGAAAATTTACTCTTGCGACAAAAAACCAATTTTTTTCGAAGTGAAACTTTTAGGACACTGTATGGGTCACGTGACCTATGTATAGACAAACTTTAACGTTGAAAGTCTGGTTTCTTCATTTGATGTAAAGCTACGTCGAAAATTCAACAAAACAATCCCGATTCGGTGCTAACAGCCCATGGAGACTAATTTTTTTAGATTTTGTATAGTCTTACAGAGATCTCTTTTTAGATTCAATATAAGTTCAAATAGGAGATATCAGTTCAGGTCGTTCTCTTGTCAACGAAACAGATAAAATAAATAATGCATTCATCATATATGTTTAGCTAAGGTTGTACCTAGTTAAACGAATATAATGTCATTATGAACTTTTCAGTGTCAAAGATACACTACTCTTTCTTATAATCATTACAGTTCTTCTATTCCCAAAAGGAAGTTTCGTCTTTGAATTCAAAGGAAATAACAGTCAGGTCGCCTGTCTAGTCTTTGATAGATTCTATCATCATAGTCTGTATTTGCCTTCGGCAAAAAAAAATACTCGATTGTCTGTTTGAACTTTCATACGATATATACAACAATTATTTTTTCACTCCGAAGCACTAATCAAATTAGTAAAGACGAGATGTTTGAATGAGAAAAATGTATACGAAAGAAAAGATGTACTAACTTGAGTGATATTTTCTTTTCTTTACATTATCCAAATGCATTCATTTATTAACTATAACGAATAATAATTAAATTCTTTAGAAAATAGTCAAAGACAAAGAAGAATTTTTCTAAAAAAAAGTCTACAATTCTTTAATATAAATATTCATCTCTGTTAACAAGTGTAAAGAAAGTTGTTATTCAATAATCAACATTTTTCTTTCTTCCAGTCATAACCCATGCCTTCTTTCTTCTGCTGCTCTTGTTTCATTTCTGCGATTGCACATTCTATGAATCATTTTACCCTCAAAAGAAAATCCTCCATTTTATCCTTTTTCTTCCTACTTCCCAAAACACATGTATATATTCTTTTCTATTCCACACACTAAATCCAACTGTTATATATATTCTAGGTGGCGTACCACGTTCAAAATTATCACAATTATTTCATTATATGTATTCTACAGCACCTAAATATCTATTAGATGATGGAACTGAACAAAATAAACAAAGGACACCTATTGCTGGCCTTGGTTATGGTTTACCAATAGCACGTCTTTATGCAAAATATTTTCAAGGAAATCTTAAATTAGCATCAATTGAAAATCATGGTACATCAGCTTACGTATCTCTTCCGGTAACATACAAAAAAAAAATTTTTTTTTTTTATAAATCTAAATATTTTTTTAATTTTTGTTTTATTTATTAGGCAGCAGCAGAAAATGCCAGGTAAATATATAGTTTCTTATGAAAGAAAACAAAAATTTATCTATATTTTAGTGAGCTTTTACCGATATTTAATAAATCTCGATATTCATATACAACAAAAAAAGGTTCTGATTGGACTTGAACATAAAAAAATTTTTGTTAACTTTATTTTGTTATTATACTTAATGTATATATTGTTGTGAACAAAAGTTTAGAGTAGTTGTATTTTTAGATTTTCTCCTTGATAGTAATACCTACTAAGAATCTGAAAAAAAAAAGAATTTGTGTAACTGAAAGAAATCTCTATTAGAATTGTTAGGTCTGAATATTTCAATAAAACTGCTTGAGTGACGGTCTGCAGAAAATCAAGACTCTCCAAAATAACTTTCTGGCTATCGTTTGACGTCTTTGGGTAAATATTTTGTTTGATAGAGCAAATAATTATGAACAATATGATATATCTCCTATCTCTTCATGACCTTTCTTCACTTAACAGAAGATCAAAGAAGCATTTCTTTCTTCGTGTTATTGAAAATTTCAATGTCTTTGCTATGTTAGAAATTTCGAGGTTTTCAATAAATTGAATGCAGTTCGATGAAGAAAGATCATGAAGAGATAGAAGACGTCTAATCTTGTTCAAAATTATGTTCTCTAGCAAAATAATATATTTTCCCAATAGCTTTGAATGGAAATCAGAAAGTTAGTTTTAGAGCCCTGATTTTTCACAAATCCTCATCCAAGGAGTTTCGCTGAAGTCTGTGAGCTCTATTGACCCTAATAAAAAATCTTTTTTAGCTACACAAATGTTTTAGTTTCAGATTCTTGCTAACTGTAATCATTGAGAAGAAAATTTTAAAATACAACTTCTCTAAACTTTTTTCCACCACTATTGATATATATTATATCGTTTAAACGAAATTTTAGATAAAAAAAAAAAAGCAAAATTTGTCGATGACGAGATTAGTTAAAGTGATCTGTAAAAATTTGAATGCAATTTAATTAAAAAAGAAAAAGCAAAAGAAGATTCAAGAATGCATTTAACTCGGTTATTACGTACACAACAAGCTTCTTTAACGCATCTTATTGATCATTATGCTAAATATCCACCAACTGGTTTAACGATGAAAAGAATTGTTGAATTTGGTGTGTTTTATTCTTTTTTTACTTTACTTAAGTTTTATATATTTGTCTTGTTTTTGTTTGTTTAATAAATAGCACGTGAAGGTGATGCAAAACAATCATATTTATTTCTTCGAAATGAATTACCCGTTCGACTTGCATCAATGATGAAAGAAATGGGTCATTTACCACCACGTCTTCTTGAAATGCCAAGTGTTAAAACAGTTAATGGTTGGTATGGAACTAGTCTACATGATTTAGATTCATTTAGAAATGCGATGCCAACTAATGAAACTGTAAAAACGTAAGAAAAAGAATAAAACATATTGATTGTATATGTCGTATTTATATTTGTAGATTTACAGAAGTTTTACAAAATATACGTAAACGACATTCAAGTGTTATTGAAACATTAGCACAAGTAAAAGATTTTTTAATGGTTTTATTTGATGATTATTTGTTTTTTTCTTCTGTCTTCTAGGGTTATATGGAGTTTTCTGATTTGGGTCAAATTAAAGAATATGAAGAGTCACAAATACAGTATTTTCTTAATCGATTCTATTTATCTCGAATATCAATTCGATTACTTATTTATCAACATAGTATGTTTAATTCAAAAAAAAAAACGAAGAATTTAGTTTTTATAACATCAGAAAATTGTAAACTATGGAATCTGTCAATATTAGCTGTCATATTATTTTGTATTATTAGTTTCTATTTTACTATTTGAGAGAACTACCAGAACCGTTATCTGCCGTTTGATCTCATTATTGAGTTCATAAGGAGGTTTCAGTAAGGCTAGAGAACTTCGGAACTAGTTTGCATTCATTAGTACCTAAAACCGAACTATGACCATTTTACTGAATTTTCGATCCAGCTTTCGGCATTTCGATCTGAAGTTTTGTCTATACATACGTCTGATGATTTTGAATACTGCCTAAAAGTTTCAATTGAAAAGTATGTTCCTCGGTCAAGATGCTGAATTTCCAAAAAAGTGATCGTTTGCCACAAAAATCAAGTTTACTTGAAAATTCAATATCTAGACAAAGGAACATTGTTTTAAACTGAAACGTTCAGAATATTCTCAGAGTTATTAGATCTATCTATGGGCAGAATTTCGAGTCGGAACTTTGTTATTTGATTTTCCGGTAAACACTTGAAGCTGCATCGAAGATTGAGTAAAACGGTCATAGCTCGGCTCCACATGTTCCTGGACATGAATCCTTTTATGACTTTTTCAGTCTTACCAAAGCCGTCTTGTGAACCCAATATGAATTAAATGGTGGGGTGTCAATTTGGGTAGTTCTCTTGTTAATTATATTTTGAGAGAAATCTAATAATTTGAGATTTATGACTTGACTATTATAAAACCATTGTCAAGATTGTCTGAGAAACGTGCAGAGTCTATCAGCAGCAAAATACAAATAATTGACAAGAATTCGAATCCCAACGGGCTCGAGTCGATATTCAGTACATCCAATTAGATTTTAGAGCTTCGCTAAGAATTTCTTGTATCTTGTTTTTTTTTTCTTTCAAAATAATAATAGTGAGTGAAATATATATCCAGAGAATAAAATGTGTCTAGTTGAAAGAAGTACGAATAAATAATTGTTACAAGTCAAAAAAAAAATAATAATGTACATGTGTTCGAATAGTATACGATTTCTGAAAGAATAACATTTGGTATTATTGTAATTTATTTTATTTTGTAAATTAGCAATGTGTTTCGGTGATGAAGTACCTTTACATCCTACACATCTCGGTTTTGTTGATCCTAATTGTTTTGTCGAAGAGATTATCAAAGGTAATATTAATTCAATAAACAATACACTTTTTATCTACATTTTTGTTTTTAAATTTAAGATGCATATGAAAATGCTCAGTTTTTATGTGAAGGTTATTATTTACAAGCACCTTCATTAGAACTTCGCAGAATAAATGGTAATGATTTTCATTTTTTTAAATTAAATTCTTCATTGTTTTTTCTTATTTGTAGCAATAACTACTGACGAACCAATTGCAATAGCTTATGTACCATCACATCTGTATCATATTATGTTTGAATTATTTAAAGTTAGTTTTAGAAAAAAAACTTAATTTTTGAAAATGATAATTTGTTTTCTTATAGAATTCAATGCGTGCAACTGTGGAACATTTAGAAAGTAAAAAGTCAAACAGTGTATTACCTCCGATTGTGGTTCGTTTTTTTAGAAAATAATTTAAATTGATTTATTAAAATCTACAAATAGGTTGATGTTGTAAAAGCCAAGGAAGATTTAACTATTCGTATTAGGTAATAAAAATTGTTAATTCTCTTCTTTATATAATCATGAGTTAATAGTGATCTTGGTGGTGGCATTCCACGATCGAAAGCAGATAAAATCTTTCGATATATGTATTCAACTGCACCAAGACCTGTATCATTAACTGATGCTCAGCATTCAGGTCCGACACCACTTGCTGGTTTTGGTTATGGTCTTCCCATTGTAAGTTTTTACAGTATTGATCAAAAAATATATACAAGACCAATATATTTTTTATTTTTCTATTCTATGATATCAAGTATTTAATTCGAATGCAAATAGTGATTTGAATAGCTAATGAAATTCTCTATCAAATGCATGCCATACCAATATTTCGTAGATGAACTAACAAGGAAGAACAGTTAGCTTACCTTTCGGCTATCCTGCGGTATGAGATGCTACTTAGCGGTAGATTCAATGTTTCGATATCGTTCTTACAATTAATACTAGCTGTAGCTTTGAACAGAAGATCGATCTGATGTAGCATTTTTAAGCTGAATTGCTTGAGCTCATCATAGACATTTACTAACTAATTATATATTAGCCACAAGAGCAGAAGTATTAGATGAACAAGGACAAGAAGACTTTTGAAAAACCGAATATGGTACTTTTGAAATCTCAGAAGACTGTTTGAATGTTAGTTTTTAAACGTGCTATCTTAAAGAGTGCAAAAAATTGAAGAAAAACGGGTTGCCGCATTCCCTACGGCCCTTCTTTCAAAACTTATGAATGTCACAAAAACAAGAAAAATGTGGTTTTTACTAATGCTATGGTAGATTTCGTTTTTTTATTTGATTTTTTGTGATATAAACAGTAAGATTGTAGAAAATGTCGTAACCTATCATTTTATTCAAAAAATCGTGTTCTTAAAGATAGTACTCTTAAAACTAATGTTCACAAAGTCTTCTAAGATCTAAAAAGTACCATGTTTGGTTTTTCAAAAACTTTCTAGCCCATCTATGAAATTTTGATTTCTAATGCATTTGATAGTGAACTTCATTGACTATTCCAATCACTATTTGAATTTCAGTTTAATGCTTGATATTGTAAAAAAAATACGTTACTATTTTATTTTTGAGTAGTATTGTAGTTTGAATATTTATGAAGAATCCAAAAACAAGCGAAATTTTCTTTCTTTTCTTTTAGAGTCGACTTTATGCTCGATATTTTAATGGTGATTTAGTAATTCATTCGATTGATGGACATGGTACAGATGCATACATATATCTTCAAGTACGAATAAAAAATTTCTTAATATTAAATAGATTTATTTATTTATTTTGTTCTTTGTTTTTTTAGGCTGTAGAAGATCAAGCTAGTGAATGGTTACCAATATGTAATCGTGCAGCCTACGAATATTATGTTTCGCGTAGATATCAATCAGATTGGACAAAAAAGAAATAAGAAAAAGATCTATTTTGATCAAATTCTTTTCAACAAAAGTAGCATTGATTTATTTAACTTTATCGTTTATTTCCTTAATCTCTATCCTGTAGTTTTTGCAAGAAAAAAAAAACAGAAAACAAAACAATAGTCCCAGATAGAATTCTTTGATTTTGATGGTCAACCTCTTCTTAGTCTATTTTCTCGACAGATTAGATTCTCATTTTTTTTTTGATTTATTTTCTGCAGTATTGTCTAATGTCTCTGTCTCTTCATTATAAACATATTTTGCTCGAAAGAGAAAGGTGCTGTTCATGTACTATTGTTTATTACTATTACTATTATTATTACTATTACTTTTCTTTCGCCACTTTTTTTGTATATTTCACTGAAACAGGTTTTCTTATCTACATCATGTAAAACAGTGAAATATAATAAAGAAAACAAAAAACTGTGTTTTTTTTTTATTTCTTGTAATTATTTAAATTGTTTGGTAATGAAGATGATGATGAAGATGAAGATGATTGAAAACGTTTCCGACAAAAACAAGTACGATGATGATGTTTAGATTTAGAATTTTTTTCAATAGATGATGTTATTAATTTAAAAAGAAAATTACGTTTATTAGGTGATTCATGTCGATACGTTTCGGAATAATCAGATTGATTTCCTTTACGATAAGTTTGAGTTTTGATAGGAGTATGATGAAACCAATTCCGTACTAGAGTTGAATAAGATGAAAATGGAAGATTATGAGATGATTGTTTACTACGAGGAACAGATATAGAATTTGGTAATGTTGAATGATTAATTTTGTTCGCTTTTTTCGATAATGATAGTGAATCAGGTGAAGTGTTTCGTGTTGTTGTTGATGATGTTGGTGTCGTAGCGAGTCTAGTAGAACTGTTTGATATAGGTCGGGGGGAAATTTTATGCTTAATTATTGTTGATGAATCAGATAATAATCTTGATTGTCGATGATGATGATAATAATAATGATAATGATGATGAGTAGTTTCTGACGGTAAAATTGTAGGTGGACGTGATGCTATAATTGGAGAATGATATGGAACGTGAATACTCGTTGAATAAGTAATTGGTAAACGAATCGATGATTCGTGATCATTGTCCAATAATTTAATATGAGAATTTTGTTTCTCTTCTAAATATTTTGATGATGATTTTATGTAATTTAACTGACTCGTTGTATGTTGTTTTGATATTTGTGGTTCAGTCGTTATGCAACATGTCAATGGTCGTTTTGATGGAGATAATGTTTTAATATTAATCGAATAAGTTATCGGTAAATCTTTGTCATTTTTAATATGATCAATATAGACCGACATAAGTTTAGATATATATATATATATATATTGTTGTTGTTTCGTCACTCTTTCTCTCTTATTTTATATCAAATGAAATATAAATATGTAACTCATTGCATATTCTGATCGATTATCCAATTTCAATGATGCATAGATGATCTATATATTTTTTTCTTGTTGATATATTAATACATACATAGGTATATTTGAAATAAAATTAGAAATAGTAAGGAACGAAAAAAAAGAGAGCTTCCATTTTTGTTAATTAGAGAAGAACACATTTGTCTTTTCGGTGTATACTAAAATGCTTATGCGTATGTGATCGTTGTTTCGATGATGCATTGGTTGGTTGTCGTGCTACTTTAGAACCTATGTTTTCCACTGAAGAACGTCGTGATTGTGAACGACTCAAATCACTATTTGGTAATCGATTGATTTGTCGAACAAGATCAAAAAAGATCTAGAAAAACAAAAAACAAAGAAAGAAACAAATATTTATTCATAGATACATAAGAGAAAAAAAACAAAAGAATTTATTTTACTTGATTAACATTTCCATGATCTTTAGCAGATGTTTCAAGAAAAGTACATTTCCATTTTCTTGCTAATGCTTGACCAACTTCACGACCAACAACTCGCTCATCTTCTAAGTCACTTTTATTTCCTATAAGTATAAGTGGTGGTATACCCTAAATTTTGAAAATAAATATTTATAAGAATTAGAAGTTTTGTTTTTCTTTTTAACATACATGAAGTTCTGTATCTTTAACACGCATTATTCGATCATAATATCCTTGAATATCATTAAATGTTGCTTGAGATGTTATTGAATAGACAAGAACAAAACCTTGTCCATTTTTAACGTACAAGTCTCTCATAGCAGAAAATTCTTCCTATTTAAATAAACCAAAAAAACTCAACAAAAAGAAAAACAATTAATCCATTATATTAATTTACAGTTCCTGCGGTATCGAGTATTTCTAATGAATACTGTTTTTCATCAATTTCAACTGTCTAAAATAAATATAATTAGAAAAGAAATAAGATCACAGCGTAAATTATACTTTTTTATAGACGTCTTCAATCGTTGGATCATATTTTGGTAAAAAAATGCCTTGAACAAATTGCATCGTCTATAAAATATAAAACAACAATTAATAGTTGATTAGAACTAATCTTTTTTTTTTTTTTTACCAAACATGATTTTCCTACACCACCGGAGCCAAAAATGCATACTTTGTATTCAGAAACCGGCATGATTGTATATATGAGATTACTCAGTACAAGAGAAGTTTTGTAAAAAAAAAGAAAAGGTAGTGCGTAAGAACAATAAACTTTTATTAAACAACGCCAAAAATTATTTATTTCTTTTCTTTAGGGTCACCTACGTTTCGTATCCTTCATAAAATGTGTGCTGTATGACGTTAATAGCACGTGAATATATACATATAGATGTACACAGCAAAAAAAAATAATGTCTACACTGTGGTCGATGAGCCGACGGCGAGTATGAGTACGATAAAAAAAAGCGAAAAGAAAATCAAGCATAACTTCTGTGAGTCATTATGATCGGCCACATTTACAAATATATACATGTTGTTTTTTTTTGTTTATATTTATTATAAGAATCATTAGTGATTATCGATCATAACGCTAGACAATTAGTTATAGAATTTTTTATAGCAAAATACAACATCCAGGATCTTTGTCTTTTGTTTGAGCATTCGATTTTGATGCAGATTGTTCTCTCTGAAATTCTATACGTGCTTCAGATGGGTCGACACTTCTTTGTTTTGATTTATTTGGTCGTGATACTTGACTCTTCCGATTTATTTGTCGAACTAAATCATAAAAAACCTTAGAAAAAAAATAAAAATATATTGTTTTTATTTAAAAGAAATAGAAAAAATTAGATTCCTTTACTTCAGTAATATTTGCTCGATCTTTAGCTGATGTTTCAAGAAAAGCACAATTCAATCTTCTTGCTAATGCTTGACCAGTTTCACGAGATATAACTCGTTCCTTTTCTAAATCAATTTTATTTCCTACAAGAACGACTGCTGGTGGACCCTAGAAATTTGAATAGATATTATTGAAATACATATTTTTTTTTTAATTTTTAAATTTACATGAGTATCAATATCTTTAACAGATATTATTCGATCATAATATCCTTGAATATCATTAAATGTTGCTTGAGATGTTATTGAATAGACAAGAAGAAATCCCTGTGAATCTTTAACATATAAATCTTTCATAGCAGAAAATTCATCCTAGAAATATATATATATAGAAGATAAACAAAAAGATTCTAAACAAAAAATTTGTTTTTTTTTTTTTTATCAATTTACTGTTCCTGCTGTATCAAGAATTTCTAGTGAATATGTTTTTTCATCTATTTCAATTGTCTAAATAAAATATAAATAGAATTCTGAAACAAAAAACCATTATATCTTAAAATCTACTGTTTTATAAACATCTTCAATTGTTGGATCGTATTTTGGCATGAATATACCTTGAACAAATTGTATTGTCTATAAAAATATACGATAGAAAAAAAGAAATAATAATTAAGAACTTAGAAATTATTATTAGTATTTTTTTTATACCAAACATGACTTTCCTACACCACCTGAGCCAAAAACGCATACTATATAATCGGCCATTATTAATTTAAAATATTTCAAGTATTTGTGTTTGTATTGTTCAGTAATTAACTAAAACTAAAGTATACTGAAAATGTCTTGAATTTTTACGGCGTTGTTGGTCAATGTTAGTAAAAATAACGTCTATCTTGTCTTTATCATCAGCTATGTTGTCCTTTTTATAAAAGAAGAAGCAAGATATTTTATATTATTGATAGTGTTTTAGAGAACGTTAGAAAAGAAAAGACTACGGTTTCAATGATAACAACATAACACATAGATATTGAAACGAGAAATTCTAATATGTCATGTCTACCAGATAAAATGAACTTTTCAATATTTTAATGTTATATATTTTAATATTTGTTCTTTTTAGATTTAATTTTTCTTTTTTTAATAGATTCACATTTTGTAAGTAACATCTGTCATTTCTCGAAACATTCTTCAAATGAACAGTTCCAAATGAACAATGTTCTAATATAACTTTTTGTCAGTATCGTTTTTTTTAACGGTATGTTAGATATTTGTTTCTATATTACTTCTTTGTAATTGAGAGAACGTAAAAAATGCACTCCACATTGAAAAATTCAATGTATTAAAATTTGAATTGCTTGAAGATTAATGGTCCTTGATGATGAAAGAGGGTAAGTTATTCTGAGCCCACTGTTGTGCAATTGATGAATGTAAGATTTCGCACCCCGAACTGTTCAAATTTAGAGATATATAGGATTACCTTACTCTGTCGAGTAGGGTACGGATAAGAATTTTTTTCTCAGTCATTGAACAGAGCGTCATCAATTTGATACCGATGATCATTTTCGATCAGGAAACATTAAATTACTCTCAATGATTCGAGAATATTCTTTTATTAGTACTATAATATGAAATTAAGATTTTCAGAAAAGATCAGACATTTCAGATAGGCCCATGTGCGAAATTTCACATTCATGAATCACACAATAGTGAGGTCAGGACAACATTTTCTCTCCCATCATTAACGACCATTAACCATCAAATAGTCTAGATTTAAATACATTGAACTATTCAATTTGAAGCGAATTTATGCATTTTCTCTATTAGAAAAAAGTAACATTGAAAGAATTACATCTGCATATAATCAAAATCAACTAACAGAAACTTGTATTAGAACATTGTTTATCTTGAACTAAAATTCTGCAGTTTCGGTCATTAAAGAATAAGAACAAAGAAGTTTCGATTCAATTCCTAAAATATCATGTTGAACTGAAATCGTTAAATCTTCAGATTGATATAAAAATTTAAAATCTCCTTTGAGATATTTTCACTATTGAATTATTAGGATTAAAAATACCACATAGTTCAGTACTTAAACAAAACAATATTATACACATCTACGGAAATCTTTAATCTCAAAAATGAATTTTTTTTGTCATAAATTCAAGAATTTATATATCTATCTGATGATTTAACAATTCCGATTTCAGTTTTTTTGAAACAAGTGAACTCTATATTGAACTATTCATTTGAAGTGTGTCTCCGAAACTGATAGATTTGACTAACATTAATAAAAAAAAAAAACTCTATCGTTTTATAGAAAATTATAATTTAGATTCTATTTCAAAATAAATATTATCATAAATATAATAAAAACATTAAAAGCTTCATTGTCCTCGAGACATTGAATAATCTGTATGATTCATTCTCATCATATTATTATTCATTGTCTGAGTCATATTCGAAATGATTCAAACATTTTTTTTTCTTTCTTTTGTTTATTACATATTGCCTATCTATAAGATAGATAATTATCGACTTGTGTTTTTCCTTTTTTTTTTTTGTTTTTGTTTTGGAGATGAACAAGATTATTTTTTTTTCTCTATACACAGACAAATAAAATGACAAATATGATAAAAGAACAAAAAAAAAATTATATCTGTTTTGTGTTTCATTTTTTGTTTCTCATAAAAGAATACAACAATCTTTGAATTGATCATTTGTTCGATCAGTTCGACGTGATGATGACTGATCATGTTGATAATCACCTCGTGGTGCAAGTTGATCAAAATCTTGTGATGATATTTGTTTAGCTGGTCGAGGTCGTTGAGTTTTACGATTAATTTGTCGTATTAAATCAAAAAAAATCTATCAAATTATATAAATAATTAATAATTTGAAAAAAAAAAAAAAACACCAAAATATTTACTTCATTAACATTAACTTGTAATTTAGCAGATGCTTCAAGAAATGTACATCCAAATGAACGTGCTAATGCTTCACCATTTTGTTTTCCAACAACACGTTCATCTTCCAAATCATTTTTATTTCCCACAAGTACCATTGGTATATCAGCACCAACATCTTTAACACGCATGATTTGATCTTTTATATCAAGTAAATCATTAAATGTTGCTTGTGATGTTATTGAATAAACAAGTATAAAACCTTGTCCATTTTTCATATATAAATCTCTCATCGCTGTAAATTGTTCCTATATTTAAAGAAAAATAGAAATTATAAAAATGTTCTTTTATTCATCTAAAAATAGTTTTACCGTTCCAGCTGTATCAAGAATTTCAAGCATACAATTAACACCATCAATTTCTACTTGCTATAAAAAGAAGAATTTATATATATATAGTTTTTTTTTTTTTTTTTATTCTAGATAATTAATAAAGAAAATTATTTCTTTTTTTTTGTTCTACTTACCTTACGATAACAATCTTCAATGGTTGGGTCATATTTACCAACAAATATACCTTGTACAAATTGTACAGTTAATGCACTTTTACCTACACCACCACTACCTAATACGACTAATTTGTATTCTCGCATGAAGATACGATTACAAAAAGAAAAAAATTTTCAGAAATCTAAAAAATAACAAAAATTAAATTAAGTATTTTTGTAAGTAATTCGACTATTGTTTGCTTCAGCGTTTTATTACTTTTTTCTCTATGTCTATATATGTGCATTGACGTCGTTGAGATGTTAAACTTTTTACTTTTTTTTTTTTTTTTGAAATATGAGTAAGCGAGGTGTTGATCGAGCACGGGCAGCGAGCTAGTGATGGTTGTGTGACGCGCCAATGACAGTTAGAAAAGACGAAGAAGAAGGGGAAAGGAAAGGTAAAATTTCTTCCGCAAACTCGGTCGCCATCGTACACGTCTAATTGACAAAAAACAACAGAGGTAATATACGTATACACACACACAATGTGCAGTCTTTCCTTTAGAGAGAAGAAGAAGAAGAAGTTCATTTTTATTCATTGATTCACTTTGCTTTTTCGTTCTTTTTCCTTTTCCTCTTTTTTTCTTCCTGCCTTAGTACATCTAGATAATATATTGAAGAAAAATTTGATAATGTGACGAATGAAATAGGAATAAAAAGAAAGAAGACGACGACGACGACGAAGAAGAAGAAAACATCAAAAACTCTATTTCTTTAACGATTTTTTTTTTACTATAATCTTGTTGATCATAATTGTCACAAGGAAAAAAAAGAAAATGATTGAGTACGAATGTTTTAAATAAGAAACTAAATCACATCTCATTATTAAGTGTAGATATGTGTACATAGAGATTAATTGATCCTCTGTATTGGCGTTGGCGAGAAGCGAGTAGGGTGGTATGTGGGAGATGAATTGAATAAGATTTTATCCATCTAGATGATGAGAAGAAAATTGTTGCTATAATACACATTTAATATTTCACTTTTTTTTTATAAATGAATATAAACTTGATAACTTATTTGCTACCATTTGAAGTACAACAACGTCAAGTGTACATTATATCATTGATTTTATCACTAGAAAAAAGAGGAGTTTTTCTTTCGTAACACTTTATTCTTTCTTGCTGTAGATAAATATAACGTTAATTTACTTTGACGGCTTTTATCAATTTCTTTTATGTTCGTAGAACAGAATATTCGATACCACACATTGTTACTTTGCTTAATTTATCAAAAAAGACCTTATACTTTATGGCACATATTATATGTGCAAATAGAAACGTACACGGTCCATTCATGTGGAACATTTACTCGCTTTCTTTTCTGTCTCTTAACATATATAATATTTATATATGTCCTTGTTCCAATCGTCGCGCTGTTTGTATTTTGTCAGTGCAAAAAATAAAGCCTGTGAGACTACTGAGTATTAAATTTTTATGGGTGGAGCATCAAGTCAGTATTCGAATGAAATATTACAGAAAACACTAAATTTAAATTTTAGGTACCGTATTGTCTCTAGATCATCACTCTTCTAGTGGCAGTGCAGATCATTTAGTTGGTGAAGTAATTTATATTCATGGGAATCCATATAAATTTAAACGACGTTTAGGCCGGGGTGGTTTCGGTAATAAGAATCTTTTCTTTTCATGTTTTTGTTTTTATTTTTTACACAAAAACAAATTTTAGGTGCTGTTTATTCAGCTACAGGACCCGATGGTGTTGATGTAGCAGTTAAAGTAATTGATATAAATGGAGTGCCGTCTCATATGGGCGGAGCTCTTGTCACGTCATATTTAACTGAAGTTAGACATCTCGAAAAATTACGACAAGAATCACGTCATGTTGTTCATATTTATGATTTTGATTTTGATCCTGAATATGGTCAAGGTAAATTTACAGCTCATTAAATCGAAATAAAAAAAAAGTCTTGTTTTTTGTGGTTATTTAGGCTATATTGTTATGGAATTAGGTGGCGAAAGTTTAGAAGACCTTGTTCATCGTTTACATGGAAAGACTAGACGTCGAAGAAAACATGATGCATATATAGATCCAGTTATTCGTCAACATATTTGGCGTCAAATGCTCAGTATTGTTAGAACACTTATTTCAAATAATGTTGTTCATATGGATTTAAAACCAGCTAATTTAATTTTATTTGGACAAACACTTAAAATAATTGATTTAGGTTTAGCACAAAAACCTGAAGTGATGGGGTAAGAAAATTTGTAAAATATTTTTTCTTTATTAATTTTTCTATTATGTTTTACTTTCAAAAATTTAGTCAAGCTGGTGGAGGTACGGATAGATTTAGGTAAGAATTTAATTAATTATTCTTAGAAGTATTTAATATTTATTCTGGTTTTATTTGTTTTAGTGCACCCGAAGTATTGGATCATCCCTCCGCTCATGGTCAGCCCTATGGTTCAAAATCTGATATTTGGTCTTTAGGTGCTATTCTTTATTACATGACTTATGGCAAACCACCGCATTATCAGGCACGAGCAGCAGATCCTCCACATAGACATAAACCTTCACGTGATCGTGAGCTAGTTGATGTTCTTCGTCGTACACTTGTCCCTGATCCTCGCGAACGAGCTGATATATCTGCACTTTTTCGTCATCCATATTCAAATCGTCACAAATAAAACGCTTTGTTTTTTTCTTAGCATTATTAAGAAAAAAAACAAGACTATTTCTGGAAAGAAAAGCTCGATAATAAACATGATCTTTTTCGTTTTTTTTCTGTTATTTATATTTAACGTGAAAAAAGAAATTCATAAAAAATTTTTCTTTTAGATGGCATCACTAAATAATATTAGAACGAGAATTAAATTAGAGGAAACTGAGGTATTACATGTAAGTATTAGTTTAATTGATAGAATATAAATTTTTAATATTTATATTAATAAAGACTACATCAACAGATTTTCCTGGTAATTATGCCGGCTATGATGATCGTTTAAATTTAGATGAATTTCGGAAGGTATTAATGGAACTATTATTTTGTTTTAATTTAAAAATTTAATTTTTTAGAATTTAAAAATTCAAATATCGAATTTGAATAACACAACAACTGAATTTGATTTAATTGGTATTGACGCAGCTATTGCTAATGCATTTCGTCGTATACTTATAGCTGAACTTCCATCGATGGTAAATGGATAAAACGAAAAAATAATAAAAGTAGTTCATTCGAATTATTTTGTTTTTAGGCTATTGAAAAGGTTCATGTAACAGAAAATTCATCGGTATTACCAGATGATGTTCTTGCCCATCGTCTTGGTCTTATTCCATTACGTGCTGATGCACGATTATTTGTTGATAAAAATCCAGGTGATACAAAAGAACGTGAAGATGATTCATTAATTTTTAAACTTAAAGTTGCATGTAAAAAAAATCCTAAAGCATCAACAGATGGAAATGATGATCCAAAAAATCTTTATATTAATAGCAATGGTAAACAAAGAGAAATAATTTTATTGATAAAACTATTTTGATTTATGTTCGTTTTTTAATCGCATAGTTTATACTGAACATATGGAATGGATACCAATTGGAAATCAAGCCACAAAGGTTTAATTAGTTTACGTTTTTTTTTTTATACTTTAGAAATGTTTATAAAAAATTTTTAGTTCAAATTGGATGACGTTGGGCCAGATTTAGGTGATATTTTAATTGTAAAACTTCGTCCGGGTCAAGTAAATATATAAATATATATTTCATATACAAAGTGAATAGATTAATTGTTGTTTTTATACAGGAAATTGATCTTAAGCTTGTTTGTCATAAAGGTATTGGTCGGGATCATGCTAAATTTTCACCTGTTTGTAAGAAACTTTTATATAGTAAAATAGTGTCATTATAATTGGTTTATTTTTAGGCACAGCATCGTATCGTTTAATGCCTGAAATTATTTTGAAAAGACCTATATATGATGAAGATGCTGAACAATTACAAAAATGTTTTACACAAGGCGTTATTGAACTTGAAGATGATAATAATGGTAAAACGAAATTCTTATTTTTAGTTAATAGTTAATCAATGGAGAAAAAAGATAAAAATATCGCTCTTTTATTCTTATTAAAATCAACATTGTGATTGCCTTGAGTCGATCGTATGATTGATATTTATTACTCTTGTCAAATCGTTACATGTTCTACTTTGATAGAAGTGTATAATGTATCAAAATTGTCTTCATTTTTTTCTCCTATGATGTCATTAGTATTGACATCAATGACAGACAACATTGAAAAGCATTTTCCAATCGACTTCATCTTAATAATGACATTGAATAAGGTAATATATGTGTTATGCGTCCCTATGAATATCAGAAGCTTTGATTAATGAAAACGATAGCAAAAATATTTTGAAATAGTTTCATCTAAATTAATAGAAAAACAATATTTAATTTTAATCTTTATCCTAATTTCATGAGTGTATGCTGATTCATAGTTATCAACATTTTTACAAAAAGAAAATAGAGATAATTTAAAATAGAACTATCATGTCTATTTGTAAAGAATTGAATAGTATCAATATATAGAACAATACGCTTAATTGCTTTCAAATAAAATTTGTTTTGAAACTTATCAACCTATTATGTATTATTGTTGACATCATGAAAGCAATTTTACCTGTTATCTAGTTAAAAAAAATACAAATGTAGCGTTTCATAGATAATTTTCATCAAAAACAAAAATAAGAAGATATCAAAATGAACTTTATGAATGATACTATATTGATGCCTACACTGTAAGAAAATTGGTGCTCACACGGCTGCAATGGTAATTTTTACTTATGGGGCACGAATTTCAGCATTTCAAGTGACAATGGTTGAGTTTTTGTTTACATACTAAACACCATTTTTATTGATAACTTTCGATCATCTACACCTCTCAAAGTCAGGTTTTCGCCATTAGATAAAGTAATGTTCGAGATGTCTATCTTTTTTCTTGCCTATTTCTACAAGTTTGCGTAACAACCTAAATTACTCGAATTATGCCAAAATCTATTGTGAAGAGTTGTATTCCTATATAAATTTGTTTGATTTTTTCATCCTTTTCCTAACTTCATACTTCAAGAGAAGTATTCTGAAATCGGAAGATTTTATGCAAAATTCTGTTATCTTTGCGATACGTTTCGGTGTCATTTGAGTCTAGTTGTCTGCGCAAACTTGTAGAAATGGACAACAAAAAAAAGTGTTCACCTCCAAATATCCATGAAAAGCTTCTTCGAACCTAATGAATATTGTACAGATAAGTGTCTCCAATATTACTCTCTCTAATGAAGAAAATTCGAGTTTAATAGCGAGCGATAAATGATCGAAAGTTATTCACAAAATGGTGATTTATATTTTAATAAAAATTCTACAATAGTTTGGAAAGCTTGCTTTTTATATATCAATAATGTATCGTTCAAGAAGTTGGTTTTGATTTCTTCTTATTATTTTCTTAGATAACAAGTGAAATGTATTTATGAAAAGTCTCATAAATATTTTTCTTATTTGACAATAGGCAAAAAATTCTTTGGTGACGCGAAAAATAATACTTAACACTAGTATTTGTTTACTGTTTTTCGTATAAAAAAGAAACAGACTATAAATAAGCTTCTATCCAATAACCAAAAAAAAATCAGTCCATTCGAGCGAACTGAAGCGAATATATTATCAAATCCTTTTTATTGTAATGCTATTTTATGACCCATCCTATATATTAGTACTCAAAGAATAAAATATTTTCTTTTTTAGGTCATCGTCATGCTGTTGTATCAAAACCTCGTCTTGATATGTGTAGTCGTGAAGCACTTCGTTATCCTGCATTAAAAGATTCTATTGAATTAAATAAAATTCGTGATCATTTCATATGTTTGTATATATAAATAATTGAATAAAATAATTATTTGTTTTATTTTAGTTAGTATTGAAAGTGTTGGTGCACTACCACCAGATCAACTCTTTATCGATGCTATTAAATTACTTATGTCAAAATGTGATCGATTATTACAAGAAATCGATGGTAACATTAATAATTAATAATAAAATATTCTTCTACAAATATATCACTCGAAATGAATGTGTTTGTTTCTGTTTTTTTTTTGTTATATTAAAAAGAGAAAAAATATATAAGACGACAAAAGGAATGTTGTACCAGCATGTCATAAAAAAAAGAGGAAGAAGAAGAAGAAAAAAAACTTGACACAATGAAATATATTTATATCTCTCATTCTATATATATATATATATGTAGACTGTTCTCGATGTAATGTTTTTAGTGACTAGAAGTAATTAAATATGTATAATTTTAGGAATAAGAAAAGGAAAACAAAATATTTGATCCCATGATCATGAAAATACACAATGAAAAATGAACGACCAGCATTCACAAAATCAGGAAAAAAACAATCGTTTTTAAACCGCACTATCTTTTTCTCGTTGTAATGTTTCAGTTAGATAAAGTCGTAATTGTTCATCAGATAGTGATACAGATGAATCACAATGCATGGAAGAAGGTGTTAAACTTGATGAACGGCGAGTTTGTTGTTGTTGTTGTTGTTGTATTGGTTGTTGATCATTTGAAGAATTATTGAATGATGATGATGATAATAAATTCGAAAAATTAATTATTGTTGATGGTGGTGAACGAGATGTTGTTTGAGTTGATTGTACAGAACATGTTGGTTGATTTATTCTAACCGGAGGCGATAATGATTCTTCATTACTTGATGTTGAAATTTTTTTTTTATGATTATCATTATAAAAATTAATTGGATCAAAATTTTCTGTTTTATATGTAAATATAGATGGTTGAGGATGACTTTGACATAATGGATGATGATGATGTTGATGATATTGTTCAAGTTTTTGTCGATTTGATGAAATTGTTGGTGCTGATAATTGTGCTTGAACTTGTTGTTGTGCAAGATGTAATTGTTGTATTGAACTCATTTCACGTTTTAATGAACTTATTTTAGATTTTGTGCGAACAAGTTCTTGTTTCATAGCACGATTTTCGACTTCAAGTCGTTTCTTTTCCTTAAATTAAAAAAAGAAAAGAATTATTTATTAGATAAAAAATTTTATTCAAGATAATTAAATTTAGAATCAGGATCAATGAACTTAAGAGTTAGTCATTTAGGAATGGTATAGTTTCAAGATTTATTTTATGTTTTCAAATTCGATTGAGTTCGTGTCCGACATTACATTTAGATATTTTATCAAAGAAATATTCTCGACATTACCTTTACTTTCTCAGATCGTTCTCCAATAGAACCCGTCAAGTTGGTCTTCGATTGGGGTTGAAGTCTGAAAATTTTGGACTTGATGGACTATAGTCATCTAAGAAATATGTAGAGTGCACTAATCAACAAATACCAAAAATCGGAAAAAAGTATCTCATATCGTCTGGGTATCTATCTAAATTTGATCAGAAAATTTTCATTGAGATTATAAAATCATGATTTGTTCGAGTTCAGATCTGAATATTTGAGATCCAACGAGCTTTGTGTTTCAATAAGTTTTAATGGACATATTTTTCACAATTTTCATTTTTTTTTATCTGAATTCACTATGTAATAATATTTATTGAAAATATATCTGTTTCTTATCATAAGTGAAATATTCACATTCTTCTATCCGTTGATAATATCG